ATATATATATGTATTTTATTCCGCTCTCGAAGGAGTAAGAAGCTTCTTCCTCCTCTCCTGCCCTTCCTCATCTTTCCCTGCTTCGCTGCTTGGAGACTTCTCAACATTTTTCATTCGAAACCAGAAATCATGGTTATTTTTTTGGATTTGGTTAGCTGGTCTCTCAATAAAACTTTTGGATCAAAGTTTTTTTCTTCTTCCATGGGAGGACATGTCAAAGGTGGGACCTCTGTTTTCTCTGTTCTGGTTATACATATATCTGGACTCCGATCATTGGATTCTACAGATTGGGTCGGTGGTCTCCTGATGTCCTACAAAACAGCGTTGGTGGCTTTTCATCTCCTGGCTGCCTGACAAATTTGATGGATGGCCGTATACTATTCAGCACTCTGACATTTGCCTTGAGTGAGCTGGACTCGGTCTGCAAGGCCACACAGAATGAACACCAATATTCTGAACAATGGCTGCGCTGGTTTTGGGGACTGGTTTCTTTGGGCCCCCTAAACTCACTTACTCCTCTGGCTAATAAATCTGCTCTATGCAGAGGTTTTTTCCATAAACACCATAGTGTGTCACAGTGTTGATATAATATGATTTTTTCCTCCCTCACCTTCCCTTGTGTGTTTTTTAGTTTTTCTGTTAAGGGTTGCGCCTCCTCATGATGTCTTCATGAAGATGATCCTGCTCTGTGTAGGGTCGGTGACAGCTTGACCCAGAGCACCTGTTCTCCCATGTTTGTTCTGTCGTCTTCTAAATGGGTGTTCTGAACTGTAATTTCATTGTGCTCTCAAGTACGATTACAATAAAGGTCTCTCTAATCTCTAATATTTTTTGACAGAAACCTGGTAACTTTTGTTTTGACTAATGTGAATGATAAAATTTGACTAATTTGAATGATATAATAATATTATCAATTATATAATATGTAATAAGATTACCTTTTACAGAGGTGAAACTATTGTTGCTATTAACTCATATTCATAACATTAGTTGTTTGATATATTTTAAATGTATATTAGAAAGTTCACTTAAATACTTAAGTTCACTCCAAATCGAACTAAACTTGTATATTGATTTATTTAGGTTTGTTACACTATCTTGGCTCATGCAAATCAGATTTGCATTCACAAAGCATCTCATCAGTGTGAAACTGCTGCAGGTAGACGGGTTCCTGCAGAACCACAACCAGTTCCCTGAAGAGGCACTGAAGACCACCGTAGAGGCCTWCCCCATGCTGAACAAGGCCAAGCTGAAGACTGAACCGAGTCTCATCTACAGCATGGATGACTTCAGGAGCTGCAGTGGTTCTGTGGCTCTGTACCAGCTTTTCATGGACAACAATGTGCAGGGCACCTTTTCAGAGATTGTGACTCTGCTGAARATTCTGATCACAACTCCCATGACCACAGCTGAGTCAGAGAGGTGTTTCTCAACCCTGAAAAGAATCAAGACTTTCCTCAGGGACACCATGTCACAGGATCGTCTCAATGCACTGGCCATGCTCTCTATAGAGAAAAACCTGGTCAAAAACATCCCGGACTTTAATCATAATACAGTAAATGACATTATAATGTTGTTGATACTGTTTTTATTGTTTTCATAGTTAAATAAATAACCTGGCGTGATACAACTTAGTAGGGCTGGGCGATATGATCAAAATTTTATATCACGGTATTTTCAACATTTTCACCGGTTTCACGGTATTTGACGGTATTTYTCTTTTCATCACAGCTCAGCTGATAATAAAATGTACAAACCCTGCTCATACATGTCAACTTGTACGGATTGTCTGTAAGTTATAAGGATTTAACGTCATTTTGCAGATATATGGACGTATAGAGTAATCTCACGGATCTTTTCAAGTCTTAGAGATTTTTTCAAAACCTGATTTTCAAATTTATCTAACATGTCAGAGCCTGTAGGATGATTTAAAAACAATAAATAACATAAAATAGCCATCTTTTAACCTGTTCTGCCGCTAGAAATAAGTTTTGAACTTTTTCGGCTCTCCTCTCCTCCTGCTGCTCACCTTGCTCACGACTCACCTTGCACACCAGTCAAGTCCAACTCCACTACGAACTACTTCCTGCAGGCTTTTCACAATAAAACCACGTTAAGTCTCCATCAGCATAACGTCTCCATATTAACTAACCGCGTTAAATCTAACTGTGCACGTCACTGAAGAGGTGTTTACTACATTCAGCGACGGCGAAAACGGGATGTTTTTTTAAACGTCAGTCAATATAAGCAGCGGAATCGCCACCCGCGGCTGCAACTAGCTGCTCCAAACATTAGCATGCTAACGCTCATAGCGGTGCAGCAAGGAAAAATGTCCCCCGGAAAACAACAGTTCACTGGCAGCCGCGACGAAACGTTCCGCTATTCAAACCGGAATGTCCGGTATCCAAAAAATTCATATTATAACAAAAATAAAAACCGGTATTCGGTACAAAACGGTATACCGCCCAGCACTACAACTTAGTACGCATTTGTTTGCTTTTTGAAATATGTCTACTTTGGAGTTGTAGCCCCCCTGGTGAAAAATGCACTAGCCGCCACTGGATGGAATCTAAACAAAACTTCTTTAGGGAAAGAGAATTTATTTGTCAGCGGTTGAAAAGAAGCTAAAGCAGAACCGACAGTCTGGATTGTAGGCTGCAGCCTTGTGCCTCAGCTAAAACAACCTTTATGTTGTTTAGATGTAAGTCAGTGCAGAAGTCATTTATCAGATACTTTCAGGATGTTTCCATGAATTCACTCAAACTCTCTTTCTTCTTTGTGTCTCTACAAAAAAGTTCTACTTACAAAATTGGAAAAAACTTGAGCTTTTATCACTCCGTATGCAGGATAGTCCACCTTCTGGGTTAAACGAACGCCTCTCTGCAATCTGAAAAAATAAACAAAAATAAAATGTATTAATATATTCATAAAAAAAACAAGTAGTGCTTCTGAAAGTGACAAGATCTAGTGAGACTTTAAATACTCAACTGCAAACACAAAAAATGCTAAAAACATAGAAGTTCAGGAAAAAAAATAAAACCAGAGAAAAGAGGCTGATTGTGTATTTTTAATATAGTCTGAGTTGTTTTAATGTGGCTTGTTAGTCTACATCTGTGCATCCTCTGCTGCTCTGCTGGTAGAAACACACAGGACTGAATTCTGTCAATTGTACACATATTGAGCTAATATTTGTTGTGGCAGTAGCTGAGAGTGGTTCCTAACACATTCTCAAAGCATCTTTAAAGTGCCTGTGATGTCAAATTTTTGTAATATATATGAATGCATTTTTAGAAAGAGGACATTGATAAAATCTTGCAAAAGATATTTAATGTCGCTGAGAGGAACGGTTGTTGAGATATTTGCCTGTAAAGTAACAGGAAGTGATGTCAAAGTGGAATATCTGCATGTAAACAGAGCGTTGTTACAACAGCCAGATTGTAGGGAATAATCTGATGTTAAGATTATTTTGAGTCACTATCAAAGAGAGAAGAAGAGTCAGAGTTCAAATAATATTGTTTCAATAAACAAAGACCAGAGAGTTTTCTTTGTTAAAGAGTTCCCCTTTGATGTCACTTCCTGTTTCACTTTGGCTGAGCCAAGTTCAAAAGAAAATAGTTATGAGTTATGGGACAAAATGGGTTAAATCGTGTGTATTATTCCAACTTTCTTAAATGTAAAGATGTTTTCTTTGACTTTTTGTATTTGAAGAATATGCACGTCACAGGCCCTTTAAGGAATATAATCATGTATTTTGTCATTTAAAATGTTTGACCAAATCAGTTGCAACTCTTTTCCTTTGTATATATAAAACCATCTCAGTCTAAAACTCTGAAATGAAAGTTAATTTAGTTTTCATGCCTCTGTGTTTTCCATAGAAATKAAAAAACACCAGTGGGAGCTTCATTTAGTCATGCAGAGGTGGTGTCTTACCTGAGCCAGCAGATCCCTGCTACGATCAGCACCAGTAGACCAGCGACGATGAACACGCTGCTCATGACTGAGAAAGCACAGAAACAGATGGTGAGAGAGAGAAAACTCTGTGTGGTGTCTGAGAGTGCTCAGAGAACCAAGTGTCATGGCCTGCTGCAGGCGCAGAGAGGTAGAACTATCTGTTGTGTTCTGTAACCACAGTAAACTCTAACTCAGTCACAGCATTTCAGAGCAATTAGTCAATACAAAGAACATCATTTAACTAAGCTGCCCTAAATATTTTGACATTTGTCTTAGAATATCTTCTTACGTCATTAAAGATGTTATTAAAACGGCTTTTACAAGATGGTCTTTTTGCTGTTATTTGGGGCAGTTTGTACTTGTATAATGACCCAAAAATTAGGTTTTGATGTCTGCTGACCTTTTGGGGGACAGAATTCTACTTCAGAAAGATCTGGAGGAGGTGTGATAGCATGTGTTTGTGTTGAAGGACATCTGGGTAAACATACTGACCACAGATAATCAGAACCCTCCTGACTTTTTGTTGCAACTTCTAAAATTTGGACTCTGGTCCAGATTTAGAGCAAACAATGAGTCGTCTGGACCCATCTCAAAGGTTTATATGAATATCATTGAATTGCACATGTGATCAGGGTCTACTTAACCTGCTGGTAGGCCCCGGGGCTAAGAGGTCCTGTTTGAATATCATATACATCATATAAAGTCAAAATCCCCCATTCATTGTCGAGCTTTAGGAATTGCATCACATTAAGCTTTGACCAGTGAATAATCATATCGTTATGACATATTTCTAAATTACAACTCATGAACATTCTTGCCACTATTCGAACATTAAAGACCATATGATTAATAATGCAGATAAACTGGGCAAACAAAATCAAAATCAAAATAAAACCATTAATTTATATTTCATATTTGATCAATAAGACCCAAAGACCCCTATGATGAATACAATGGATGGATTCAGTGTTCCCTTTGCCAGGACGCGGGTCACCGGGGCCCCTTTCTGGAGCCAGGCCTGGAGGTGGGGCACGTTGGCGAGCGCCTGGTGGCCAGGCTTTCGCCCATGGAGCCTGGTCAGGCACAGCCCGAAGAGGAGACATGGGTCCTCCTTTTCATGGGCTCATCATCGGTGGGAGGGGCCTTAGGGGTCGGGTCAATGTGTGCTGGGTAGCGGTCGAAGGCGAGGACCTTGGCAGTCCGATCCTTAGCTACAGAAGCTGGCTTGAGGGATGTGGAATGTCACCTCTCTGGTGGGGAAGGAGCCTGAGCTGGTGTGTGAAGTTGAGAGGTTCCGACTAGATATAGTTGGACTCACCTCAACGCACCGCTCTGGCTCTGGAACCAGTCTCCTCGAGAGGGGTTGGACACTCTTCCACTCTGGAGATGCCCATGCTGAGAGGCACCGAGCAGGAGTGGGCATACTTATTGCCCCCCATCTCAGCGCCTGTATGTTGGAGTTTACCGCAGTGAACGAGAGGGTAGCCTCCCTCCGTCTACGGGTGGGGGGACGGGTCCTGACTGTTGTTTGTGCCTATGCGCCTATCAACAGTTCAGATTACCCACACCTTTTGGAGTCCTTGGCGTGGGTGTTGGAGAGCGCTCCTAACGGTGACTCCCTCGTTCTGCTGGGGGACTTTAACGCTCACGTGGGTAATGACAGTGAGACCAGGAGAGGCGTGGTTGAGAGGAACGCCCCCCACCCCAATCTGAACCCGAGCAGTGTTTTGTTATTGGACTTCTGTGCTCGTCATGGATTGTCCATAACGAGCACCATGTTCAAACATAAGGGTGTCCATATGTGCTCTTGGCACCAGGACACCCTAGGCCGCAGCTCGATGATCGACTTTGTTGCCATTTCATCTGATCTGCGGCCACATGTTTTGAACACTCAGGTGAAGAGAGGGGCRGAGCTGTCAACTGACCACTACCTGGTGGTGAGTTGGCTCCGTTGGTGGGGGGAGGATGCCAGTCAGACCTGGCAGAYCCAAACGTATAGTGAGGGTCTGCTGGGAACATCTGTCAGAGTCTCCCGTCAGACGGAGCTTCAACTCACACCTCCAGGGGAACTTCAAACACGTTCCGGGGGAGGTGGGGGACATTGAGAATGAGTGAGCTATGTTCCGTACCTCCATTGTCGAGGCGGCTTACCTGAGCTGTGGCTGTAAGCTTGTTGGTGCCTGTCGTGGCGGCAACCCTCAAACCCGCTGGTGGACATTGGCGGTGAGGGATGCTGTCAAGCTGAAGAAGGAGACCTATCGGGTCTTTTTGGCCTGTGGGACTCCGGAAGCAGCCGATAGGTATTGGTAGTCCAAGCAGATTACTGCTCGGGTGGTCAATGAGGCAAAAACTCGGGTGTGGGAGGAGTTCGGCGAGACCATGGAAAAAGACTTCTGTATGGTTTCAAGGCAATTCTGGTCCACCGTCCGGCATCTCGGGGGAGAAAGCAGTTCACCACCAACACTATTTATGGTGGGGATGGTGCACTGCTGACCTCAACTCCGGACGTTGTGGGTCGGTGGGCGGAATACTTCGAAGACCTCTTCAATCCTACCGACACGTCTTCCCATGAGGAAGCAGAGCCTGAGGACCCTGGGTTGGACCCTCCAATCTCTGGTGCTGAGGTCACTGAGGTGGTTAAAAAGCTCCTCGGTGGCAGGGCGGCTGGGGTGGATGAGATTCACCTGGAGTTCCTTAATGCTCTAGATGTTGTGGGGTTGTGTTGGTTGACAGACTAACAATATCGTGTGAACATCAGGGGCAGTTCCCTTGGATTGGAAGACCGGGGTGGTGGTCCCCCCCCCC